TTTCGTGGCAGGTGCAGCACTTGGTGAACCTCGAAGTGCAGATTTCGTGGCAGGTGCAGCACTTGGTGAACCTCGAAGTACAGATTTCATGGCAGGCACAGCAGTTGGTGAACCTCGAACTGCAGATTTCGTGGCAGGCGCAGCACTTGTGGCGAGCCTCGAAGTGCAGATTTCGTGGCAGGCAAACTTTGCGCGGATCACTCTCTCACTCTCCCACTCTCACTCTCCACACTCCCTCACACTCCCACTCTCACTCACACTCGCACTCACACTCACTCTCCCACTCTCACTCGCACTCGCACTCACACTCACTCACTCTCACTCACACTCATTCTCATCCACACTCACTCCCACTCACACTCACTCTCACTCACACTCGCACTCCCTCACAAACTCACTCACTCACTCTCCCACTCCACACTCACTCTCACTCTCACTCACACTCGCACTCACACTCACTCTCACCCACACTCACTCGCACTCACACTCACACTCACACTCACTCTCTCACTCTCACTCTCACTCTCACTCTCACTCTCACTCTCACTCTCACACTCACCCACCTTCACTCTCACTCATGCTCAACCCACCTTCACTCTCACTCACGCTCATTCACACCCACACTCACTCCCACTCCCACTCGCACTCACTCACACTCCCTCTCTTCACTTCATCACCACCATCACCTCTCTGGACCCCCAATGCGTCTAGATCTCTAGACTTTCTGCTTACAGACCTCACACACACTGTTTGGGGTCTCTTGCCGCGATAATTGTATATGCTATCTCAATCTTCTTTTTGGAACTAAGGCCAGCGCCGAGCAAGATGGTGAGTGTGTGGTCTAAGGCCGGCGCGCGGTGAACCCCAGTTGGCTCGTGGTGGGATCAGTGGATACTTATCTCGCCAGGACGAACTCCGATGAGCAGGGATTGGATGAGCAAAGCGGACAGGTTCAATGGTAGAACCAGCGACGAAAAGGGAATTGTTCAGCAGCGGAAGGCCAGCGGACTGTATGAGAAGAAGACGACTTTGGCTTGGTCCGCTACCTGCACGTGTCTCCCTGCTAGCCCATTCCCTCCAAGCACTTGCCAACCGGAGTAAATCACCGCACCACGACACAGGGTTTCCCTGTGCCCCCTGGCGCACCGAAGGGAGCGTGTAACGCCCACAAAAGTGAGCGGCCCGCGTCTAGGCCGATTGCGGGCGGTTTACCTCCTCTACCGCGCTTTTCGTTCGATTGCACATTGTTTGGCTTTTCAAAACTGATGAGGTTGATTAGAGCTTTCATCCCTTGATGTGTTGTGGGCCCCAATGAGCATTGGAAAAGAATGTGTCTAACCAAGCGAAACTTCCGAGTGTTGGCCAGATATCACAGATCGCTTTATCAATGATTTGCGTCGACATCGACATCGCTAATTGTTCGGCCACAAGGACAAGAGAAGACAAGAGGAGGACAAGACCCGGTCACACAGCCGAGCGCGGCCACAGATCCCGGCCACAGAGTTCAAGGGCGCGGCCAATCAGTGTGGCCAGCTTTCTTTTTCTATGATAGAACCCCAACAGTAAACTGTTTG